AACAAAGTTAACAATTCAGTTTTCATGTAGTATCACAAAAACTGTGCATCCATGAAACTGCATAATTAATCGGAGTTAAAATCTAAACAAAATCAAAGTCTTTTTTTTTTTCGTCAAAAAATTTCCCAAATTTGAACCTCAATTTTGAAAACGTTTGTCCTTCACATCAAAAGTGCCAAGGTCATCCACTAAAACAGCCACAAAAGGCAACAAAACAATGTTTTGAAGTCATTTATAACCCTGTGATATATCTTTTTTTTTAAATGTGTACTTTTCTTTACGACATTCCAATATGGCAGCCGTTGCCATGGCAAACCACATAAATTTTCAAAATTTCCGAATTTCCCACCGATTCTATATTGATGCCACCGCACAAGTAAGCTGAGTTTCTGATTTTCAAAGAAATTTTGAATTTCCCCTGCATCATGCCTTACTGTGTTAGTACCTTTAAACGAATTAAGTACATGTACTATGATACTGATGTGATACTTGCTGCATACCTGCTGTTGCTACCCCCACCCCTCCCCCACGTGTATGCTTATTCATTTGTTTACATTTATAAAGCGGAAACAACAAAAGTAGCGAGGGCACATCCGCACAACCTTGAAAAAAAACAACAACAAATAATCCAACATCGTGCATTCATTTATCACAATCATACTGTCCTAACAAAGAGAATCAAAATCATATTTTCGATGGAATCCACCCGTTTAACAAACTCTCGCAAGAAAGTGTATGAAAATCATAACGAAGGCTTTCATTCGTTAATAAACTGTCCTTAAGTTTAACGCTTTGCCGTCACAAGGCTTATATTCATCATCATCATCTAATGCCAGATCTGCGACAGACATCGGCGATCATGGTTCTCCATTCATTCCTTTGCTCGGATGCTCTTTTAAAAAAAAAAAAAAAAAAAAAAAAAGCTACGTTTCCCTGATCTTTCCCTGTTACCCATTTGTTTAGGTTCCCAAAGTAGATTGTTCTGGGCCTACCCCTTATATTATTTATAGTAAAAACTCTTGCCATCAAAGGCAAAGGCATTTTGGGGAAAATCCACAGAAACCGGGTGGTAAACATCGCTGATCGGCGAGATGTGACGGCAAAGAGAGGTTGTTGTTTTTTAAATATAAAAGAGCAAATCGAAATCAAAGTGAAGACGACTTACAGGAACCGGAACTGCCCTGCGAGTTGGCCGACTGGGAACTCTCCTGCTTGGAGACCGGGATGTGCGTCATGGAGCCGCCCCGCGTGTACGACGGCTTGGAGGAGAGCGCGCTGCCGCTGTCCGAGTGCGGTAGAGGGCTCACACTGACGCCCGTGCTGCGGCTGGTCACAGAGTTCTGACGCTTGTTGCCGGCGGGCTCCGGGGTGGTGGAGACTCCGCCCAGGCTGGCGCCGCTCAGGTCCATCTGGATCTGGCTGACCGAGCTCTTCAGCATGCTCGGGTCGCGCTCCTCCGCCTGGGGACACGGGCCAGACAGTGGGGGCAGTTTTAGTGTTTGTTTGTTTGTTTCTTTGTTGGCTTGTTCGTTTGTTTGAGTAAAGTTAAGAGCTAGGAAGAAGTAAGACAGGCAGACAGTGGGGCAGTTTTAGTGTTTGTTTGTTCGTATGCTTGTTTGCTTGTTTGTTTGAGTAAAGAGAAGCACATCGACACAATAATGGCCATTAAATGCTAGAAAAGGTAAGAAAGACAGACAGACAGACAGACAGAAAGACAGACAGACAGACAGACAGACAGACAAACAGACAGACAGACAGACAGACAGACAGACAGATAGATAGACAGACAGACAGACAGACAGAAACAACGGAGGGAAAGTATAGAAGTAGGACCTACAAGTGGCGCCCTCTAACCACCCGCTTAGTTTTAGAGTATCAAACCGTATCAAATAGGGATTAGATGAAAAATGGGCACATAGTTATAACATCCATCTCCACGAGGACAGGGCCAGGTGAGAGGATGAAGAGCCGCAGAAGCTTAAAAAAAACCCCCCAAAAAAACAAAATAAACGAAAAAACGAAAAACAAAACAACCAAAAACAAAACAGGGTCACGTTCGAAAAGGGAGTGAGCGTGTTAGTTAAGGATTCAAAGCAGGGTCATCATTTGTCTCGTTTGTTCTAGTCGTAGCCCGGAGAACTAGAGACAGACAAAAGGTAAACACCCAATCAAAGAGGCAGAAGACGTTGAATGAACGTCTTGGGTACCCAGTAACCACCAACATTATCACAGATGTTGACGGGTGAAGAAAATTGACTTTTACTTGACGGTCTGATTTGAAAAGATTTTGTTCATATGACCTTATGCAGTTGCAAGCGCCGTAAAAACTCTACTAAAACAAACCAACAAATATTTTGTTTTATAGCCCAATGGACCATGCATGCAGATCAGAATCACAATCATACGTGAGGCATCGTGGTAAAATCAGGAGCTCGTCAAAATAATGAAATCAGAGAAATCGGCATTTTTCGGCCAGTTTGGACATGAAATTTTATTTTATTTTGTTTTTTTTTTTGCGGGGGGGCTCAACACCTAGTATGTTCATCAAAAACACTTTTAGGTGAGGATATATGGAAAAACGTCGATTAAAAGCAACAACAAAAAAAAGTAAATTTGTAGTTTCCAAGGACTCTTAAGCTATGGAAGTCACCAAACTTTGGTGGCCATTTTCTCGCTAATTATACTTCTGAAACCAGGCCACCCCACCTCCTTCAATCGCAAATATCTCAACGTCTATTTAAGATAAATGGGCATTTTTTTCACTGAAAGCAAGGCAAATAAAAAAAGCTTTAAGATAATAACAATAAATTCATATGCCCAAAAATTAACGAGCGCCAGATTTCACCGCGTCGTGACACATAGAGGCGGGCTGCTGCCTGACAGGGCCAGCCCGGGCACAGTGGAATACAGCATCCCAGCAAAAACAGCGCATATTTTCGAAAAATTAACTTCCCCTTGTGGGATTTGAACTCACACCTCCTGTGTGCAAAAGCCAAGGACCTACCCGTAACACAACAGACGTGAGCACATGACCGTCTGAACTCTAGTTTTTAGTTTTAGTAAACAGTTTTACGGCACTTTCAACACAATAAGGTCATATAAGTGCCGAAGAATAGATGTGTTACAAGAGGGTAACATACACAAAAAAGGAGGAGAGATACGGACAACAGGTGTTTGATAGGAAAGAGGGAGCAAACCACACCAGGGCATCCGGCAACCACCTACTGTCTGAACTCTGGAAAGGCACATCTGATCACATCATAACAGAAAAAAGTACAAGCAACGACGGGACAGGGAAAAACAGGCACGCTGTATTCTATAGTTTAATGGGGAAAACGACGAGGACCACAATTCGAAGGAACAGTTTTTGATTTGGGCAATAGGAACAACCCCCCCCCCACCCCCCTCTCACAAATAAATAAATAGATTTGTTTAAAATCAAATAAAAATCAAATAAAC